TCCTGAGGTGGCCAGGCCATGACCCAAGCCCAGGCCTGGCAGGCCTCCTGCCCAGTTTCTGACACTCGCCTAGGGGTGCTGTGCAAGCTTCCTGCCAGCCTGGACTTGGGGGCAGAGGCTTCAGGGACCAGCAGGGGAAGAGCCCCCCCTGCCTCGTCTCCTTGGGGAGACTGCTCCGAGCAGCTGGCTCTGTGACCTTCCGCATCTTCTCATCCGGAGGTGGGAGGGGCCACCTGGTGAATCACGGGCTTCCATCCGCCTTTGGGTTTACAGAAAAATTTTAGGAAAAGAGGCTGTTGACAAGAAGGCTTGAACTCTGCTTTAGAAACTTATAAAACACGTTTAGTATGGGTTTGAAAAATGATCCCGTCCCAGGGCTCCTCCCAAAAGGGCCGCTGCTGCTGATTTCCTCCGCCCTGGCATCTCCCGGGCTGCCGTGTGGGTGAGAACATGTGCAAACACATCCACGTGTCCCTCCCATCCTACCACAACTGGGCACGCTCTGCACCAGGGAGACAGGTCCCCCCAGTGCCGTGCGTGTGCACATGGGTGTGGACCCCAGGTTCTCATGTTTGCTCTTCCACCAGCAGGGTGCCAGGCCAGCCCAAGATTGACCACCTGCGGCGGCTGCACCTGGGCGCCTACCCCACAGAGGAGTGCAAGGCGTGCAGCAGGTGAGCCCCACCCGCGGGCATCCGGCTCCAGCTCCCTTATCTTAGGTCACCTCGGGGCCAGGGCATCCACCCAGCAGCCTCAGTCTCCCCGCCTGTGAACAGGCCGTGAGGCTGCGAGTGGGAGCACCAGGTGGTGGACTACATAGGGCCGAGGACGCCTTTGGGAGGTCCCATCCTGGGCATCTGCGTGAGCAGGTGCCAGGGTGCAGGTGACCATGTGGCCCAAGCCTGCCCGGGGCCGTCCCTGTCCCGGCACTTTGTAATCATGGCCCAGTTGCAGCCTTACAGCCCGATGCAGGTTCCGGCTCCCAGCTCACATCGCTAGTGGATAGGACTAGTCCCCGACCCGCCCCCCCCATCCACTCGGGAAGGTGAGGGGGTGATGCCTGAGCCAGGACAGGATGTGGAGGGTCTAGCCAGGCCAGCGGCGTTGCAGGGAGCAGCATTCCCGGTGGCAGGTGGGAGCATGGCCCCACCTGGCGCCCCCGCTCCCCTGGTCCCGCAGGTGCGGCTGTGTCACCATGCTCAAGTCGCCCAACAAGACGACAGCCGTCAAACAGTGGGAGCAGCGCTGGATCAAGAACTGCCTGTGTGGGGGGCTCTGGCGGCGGATGCCCCTGAGCTACCCCTGACTGGGGGGCCCGGGCCCTGTAAATAGATCCCCGATGGATTACGTAGGACGGCAACACTGTCTGCCAGCCACTGACAGAGCATTCGCACAGTCCAGGCCCTCACTGGGTGTGCTAACAAAGCTGTCCATGGTGGGGAGCTTTTGGGTCCTTGTCGCTGGACGGGGTGGGTGAGGATGCGGCCCATAGCCTCCAGCTGGGGTTCTTCTGGGTGCCCCAGGTCCTGCTCAGAGAGTCCAGGATGACCCGGGCGTCCAGCTCAGGTGGAGCGCCTACCCATCTCCACCTGTCCCTGTCCACATCGTGCCTGCGCCTCCGGTGGCCCTGCCTGGGCAGGCCCATCAGCATCCACAGGGCCCCCCAGCCCTGACTCTCCTCCCCATTTTGGGGTTCCCCTTGTGCCCTTTCAGCATGTATTGAGCACCTAGTATGTGCCATGCACAGGCCCACAGGGAGCCAGGAGCTGGTGGGGCCTTCTGGGCGGCCGAGTGTCTGCGCATGTGCGAGACCCCTCGTGTGCCTGCGCCTCCCCGCCCCCCGCCCCCGCAAGCTTAGAGCAGCTCAGACCTGTTCCCCAGGAGTCCCGCCTGCTGCTGTAAGCAGGCGCTCTCAAGGATTATGTCCCGCCCCCTGCCGGCCCCAGACAACACAGTCCTGCCTGCTAAGTGTTAATTGGGCCTGTTTTTGTCCCGGAAGGCTCCTGGGAGGCAGGCCAGGCAGGCGTCTGCGGGAGGTACCTGCTGGCACACAGCTTGCCAGGCTTCTGGGCAGGTGGCGGCGCAGGGGGCCCTATTACCTGGGAGCCTGTGTTCCAAAGCTGCCGGCCCCTGGCTGCAGGATGCAGGTGGCCTCTGAATGCTGTTCTCTGCAAGGACTCAGGCGTCTGGGCCAGTGCCCACAGCCCCCTTCATGGCAGGGGGACCCCGGGGGTGGCCTCCGCGGGTCAAGGCACACCTGGATGAGTGGTCACTGCTGATGGTCAGAGCCACACGTGAGCCGGTGGAGAAGAGTAACAGACTCAAGGGCAGCCTGCGAGCAGGGCTGTGGCCTTTCCTCGCCGAGAGACGTGTTTCTGGGTCCTTTACATGCAAACCTCACCCACGGCCCGGCCGCTGGGTGAAGGCGATGGAGGCGAAAGGCCCCCTTTTGGGTCCTGCGCACCTTGGCCTCTCATGACTTATTGCCCACGCCTGGACCGTATTTGATTTTAGTAGCTCTCTTTTCGAGTCATCCTAGTCTTTAAACGAGTAAATTGTCTTAGAAAAGTAAGCCAGTTCTCCTGTACTCCTGTTTCCGTGGCTTACGGTCAGATTGTGGCTGTTCTGTGATGTGGCCAGGGATTCTCCGATGTGACTCCCATCAAGAGAGGTGGGATCCCTGTCCCCTCCCCTGAATCAGTGGGATCCTGCCAGTTTTACCTAATTCTCTGCAGCAGACAGAGTGCCCTGAGACCTCCAAGTCGTCAGACTGGCCTGGCGCCTGGGCCCTTCATCAGTACCCCTGCCACCACGCTGAGGGAGCCCAGCCACATGGGAGGCCACCAGCCCACTGAGCCTGTCGGAAGACTCCAGGCAGCCCAGATGTGGAGCCGGGGCGGCCACCCGCCGTGCAGTCTGGCTCCTTAACCCTCAGAGGCTGATGAATGGTGGTGGCTCTGTCCCCAAGTTGGGGTGGCTTGTTCAGCAGTAGATAACCTGAATGTTCCGTGAACCGCTGTAACAGGCCCAGTGGGCATAAACGCACCTGGCTGCGGGGACACATTGGGCATATCCTGCTAAGGGCAGGGGTTGGTGGGGGGGGCCCTGCTGGAAGGGTCTATGGTTGAGGGGGCTTGTGGATTGTGATGTTCCCTTGTCCCCTTCCTGTCCCCCACAGGGGGCATCACGATGCCCGAGTGTCCACAGGGTTCCTGCTTCTGGGACCAGTAACTGCAAAGTGTCCTTGTGACATGAAAAGACAGTTCATTCCTGGTCTTGGGACACAGTGGGGCTGGTCTGTGGTGGAAGTGCAGGCTTGCTGCAGGTCACAATGGGCTGTGCTTGCCAAGTGCCTTATCGACCTCTCAGCATACTCAGAGCCAGGGACACTGGGGCCCTGGGTTACAGATGGGGAAACCGGGGCCACGCGGCAGCTGGGAGGTCCCCGCTGTGTCCCAAGACTCAGAGGACCCGCATACACTCCTAATTTAGTTCCTGCAGCACCCACCTGTTGCTCATTCCTCTTCCTAAACCATCTCCAGAATCTTCCGTGGCTCCCACTGACCACAGGATAGGGTGAAAATGTCAGGTGGCACCACCCCAGGCAAGGTGAACCCCACCCCACATCCCACGCACTGTCCTGGGGCCCCCAACATGCTGCCCTCCAGAAACAGGCGGGAAGGTGTGATGGGGGTGGCCCTCGACTTCCTATTGTGCAGTGGGGCTGGTCTGTGGTGGGGGTGCAGGCTCGCTGCAGGTCACTCCTGCCCCTGCCCTGCCCTGCCCACCCCACCTACTCCATTGGGCCCTGCTCTGGCGCCCCAGCTTGGGAGTCTGAGCCCCTATTCCAAGGCTCATCACTTTAGCCTAGTTCTGTGTGCAGGCCCCCTGTCCCCTGGCACCAGCCTTGCCAGATAAACTGCAGGACACCCAGTTAAATCTGGATTTCTGGTAATTCTACTTAAATCACCCCTCTTCCCCCGCCAAACTGGGTCATTTCCAAGTCACTCCCTGGCATCGTCATTTCATTCAGGAAATACCTTCTGAATGAATGAGCCTCTGGTGGCTGAATGACCAGCAATGTATTTCCCTCTCGCCTCCCGCGTAAGTGTGTACCACTCAAATTACCCAGGAGATTCATGAGCCTGCTGGGGAGAACCTCAGATCCGTCAACAGAATGGCTGGATGAGTTACATCCCATGCATGGGAATACTTGACTAAGCTCCTAGGAGCTGAGTCCCAGCTGTGTCCACAATGCCCAGCCCTTCCCAGGTGGGGCACACAATAGGTGCTCAACAAATGCTTATGTACGAACCAACCACTGACTCCCAAGGTGAACTTCCACAGTAAAAAAGCATAACCTGGCCACTGGTTCCAGTCCTAACTCCCCAACCCCGAGCGGGGCAAATCCCCTCCCAGACCCTCAGTCTCCTTTTTGACCAAAGGGGAAGTCACGAACCCCCACTGTGGACCAGGTTTACTAAGTGGGGCCCAGCAGGTGCTGGGCCTTAACAGCTGCTTGTCTAGGTGGGAGAAAGGGCGCCAGACCTTTGGGGTGCGGGTTCTGTCCTCTGTCACTTCCCTGTAATTGCTCAGAAGAGCAAACTGAGACCCAGAAGAGTGGGGCAGTGTGGGGGCTCTGGGACACCCCGAACCGTGCTCATTCTGTGAACCTGGATGCTGGCCTGTGTACACAGGTGCTGAGGCTCTGGGTAGGAATCGAGGCTTCCCCAAAGAGCTTCTGTGTGGCCTCAGGACAGGTACACAGCCTCTTTAAGCCTCATTTCCCCATTTGGGACATAAGGGCACAACTGCGGAGGGTCTGTGTACCTATATGTCCACCGAGAGCAGGCCCTCCCCTTTGGCTGGTGACGCAGGGGGACAGCTGGACATGAGCCCGGCTGGAGGGGACACCCTCCGCGGGCCCCAAGTCTCAGGCGGGGCGGGCCCCGGCAGCCTGGCTCTGGCCCGGTGACCGCAGTGACTTCACCAAGAACGGCTGCGGAACACATGCTTTATTGCCCGTCCCTCGGGCCCTCAGGCGGCCGTGCCCCCTGCCATCACACGGTCGATCCAGGCCGCATAGCTCGCCACGCGCGTGTAGATGCCCGGCTTCTTGCTGTTGCCGCAAACGCGAGAGCCCGACGTCACCACACCCTCGGCCACGCCGCCGCACACCAGCGGACCCCCGGAGTCCCCCTGCGGGGCGCAGGCCGTGAGCGAGGGTCCGCGCCCCGCCCCTCCCCCCCGCAGGCGCCCAGGCCCCGCCCCCGCCCTCGTGGCCACGCCCGACTGACTCCAAGGCCCCGCCTCCTTCCCGCCCACTGTCCGGGCCCCGCCCCAGGAGCCACCCACACGGCCTCGGCCCCGTGGTTCCAGGCCCCGCCCTCCGGCCGACTCCGCCCTCTAGCCCTCGGCCCCTCAGGCTCCCAGGCTCCGCCCCCTAGGCCCCGCCCGCAGCCTCGGAGCCGCCCCTCGCGCACCTTGCAGCTGTCCCGGCGGCGGTCGCTCTCGGCGCACATCATGCGTTCGCTGACGGTGCCGTCGTGAAACCGGCGCAGGTTGCAGGTGGCGCGGTCAATCACCGGCAGGGACAGGTGCTGCAGACGGTCTGGCCGGCTGCCCCTGTGGTTGGTCACGCCCCAGCCGGCCACGTCGCAGAGCGTGCCGCCTGGCACATCGCGGTTCACCCGCTGCCAGGGTAGGGGCTGCACGGCGGGGCCCAGCGCGGCCTTCTCGGACAGCTGGGGGTGGGGAGGCGCGTCAGGCTGCGGCCGGCGGGGGCGTGCGGCAAAGCAGGGGGCGCTGCGCCCCACTGCTGGGACCGGGTGGTAGGTGGCGTCGAGGTGGGGAACGGCGGGGGCGTGCAGCAAAGCTGGACTTGGCTGGACTTGGCCTACCTGCAGTAGGAGGAGGTCGTGGTCAATGGTTTCCGGCCGGCTGTCCGGGTGGGGCACCGCGCGGAGCACGTCGTACAGGCGCTTGGAGGGCTCTGGCCGCGTCAGGGAGTGCGCGCCCAGCAGCACCTGCACTTTCCCGTCGGCCCTGGAAGCGGGGGGAGGGGTGGTGCATATCAGGGCCACCCGTGCCAAACCCAACCCCCGCCACTGCCCTTGGCCGCTCCCTGCGCCAGGCCACTCACACGTCCTCCAGGCAGTGTGCGGCGCTCAGCACCCACTGCTCCGCCACCAGGAAGCCTCCGCACACGTGCTTGCCGTCCACCTGCACGGACGCCATGTAGGGCCGCGCGTGGGACACGGCCTCGCGGCCGCCCAGGATCCGCCCACGAGGCTGCGCCGCTGCGGGTGGGCAGGTGGGCGAGAAGACTTCAGGGACTCCTGCAGCCCCGCCCTCAGCCCCCCTCCTCCGCCCCCCAGGCCGCTCCAGCCGCCCTGGGTTCCATCGTGGCGATCCCAGAGCTACAGGGAGGAATGCTGGAAAAGAGACTACAGGGACTGGCAGGGTCTGGGGCAAATTCCATGCCTACACACTGCGCTGAACAGCTTCAATTTAAACATAAGAAAAATGGGGTGTCCAAGCCCTTTCCTTCTCAGGTGCCAGTTTTCCCCTGAAGTCTTCGGATTCTCACTGTAGGGAGAGCTGGGGCCTGGAAGGCTCAGATTTCAAATTCAACCTTTTGATAATTCCTTATCTTCTAAAGTCTTCCATTCACTTGGACCCTGTGCCCCTTTCTGCCCACCTAGAGGGGTTGGGGGACAGTCCTGTTTGACGGAGGGACCCCTTGCTAACTGCCCTACAGCCCTGCAGGCTGGTGGCCCCCCAGCTGCCCCCAGTCCCAGGTCCACTCACCACTCAGGGCGGCTCCTAGGAGGATCAGAGCTGCCAGGTGCGTGGGGTGATCCCTCATGATGCTGCTGTGGCCCCAACACTGGCCCAGGCTGGGCCCCAGGGTGCTTTTATGATCATGGAGGGGGCGGGCGCACCCACAGGCCTTATCTACCAGGTAGGCAGAGGCCCAGCCGGGGAAAGGGGAGCCCGCCTGCCTGCTTCCACCCTCCCTGGGGGTGGGGTCATCTCCTGCGGGAACTTGCACCAAGAGTAGACAGGCCGCTGAGGGTGCCTCCTGCCTCCCAGGCTGGCCCTGGTGTGTGGCGCAGACCCTCGGGGTGGGTGGGAAGGACACAGAGCTAGGAAAGGCCCCATGCCCAGCCCCCCCAGCCATCCCCCAGAGTGCCCTTCCATAGCCCCAAAGTTTCACAACAGCAGCTAGAGGCTACGGTTTGTAAACAACCCACTTCCTCATTTCTCTTCCCCTCCCTTTTCTCTCTTCCTCATTCAACTAGGAGAGGAGGTCAGGTAGGGGTGGGAGGATAGCCGGACACCCTTGTTCCTGTCCCTTTTTTGTGGCCCTGGGCCCTCACTTCCCAAGTAGACTACCAGGAAAAGTGGTGTGTAGGAGCAGCTGGAAAAACTGTCAGACAGACAACCAACTCAAAGTGGGTGGAGCCTTCACCAAGGAAATATAAATGGAACATTCAGGGGACTACCTTCAGGCATGGCTTGATCTAGGTGCCTGAACAATGTAAGGTTCTGCCTCTGCTTTCTCCTTCCTTTCTTGGTGGCTTTTCTTTTCTTTTTTGTGTGTGTGTGAACATATATTTTCAATTTTATTGGGTACATACATTAGAGTGGAATTGCTAAGTCATATATAACTCTGTGTTTAACTTTTGAGGAATTCACGAACTGCTTGATAAAGTGAATGCACAATTTGACTTTCAACCCGTGGTGTGTGAGGGTTCCAATTTCACCACATCTTCACCAACACGTCTTATTGTCTGTCCTTTTGATTATAGCTATTCTGGTGGGTTAAGTAGTTCTCACTGTAGTTTTTATTTCCATTTTCCTAAAGACTGATGTTACGCATCTTCTCATGTGCTTATGGCCTTCATATATCTTCTTTGCTAAAATGTCTATTAAAATCTTTTGCTTACTGTTTAGCTGGGCTTCTTGTCTTATTATTATTGAGTTGTACGTGTTCTTTTTTTTAAAATTAAGGCATCATTGATATATACTGTCTCATGCCGCCATCATTAATCTCCCTTGGTGGCTTTTCCCTCACCAGATGCCCCCACTGTGGCCCCAGGGGTCCCAGATTCAGCCCAGTGCCTCAGTGGTCCTTTCGCCAATCCAGCCAGTATCTCAAAGCTGCCTCCAGTGGGTCAAGTTTAGATCACATGCCCCTTCCCAAACCAATCACTGAGGAAACAGCAGGTTCTGATGAGCAGAACCTGGGTCACACAGTCCTCTGTAGTGTGGGAATGGCGGTCAGCATCTCGTGAACCTGCAGGGGTCTGGGGCCAGAAGCTTGGGATCAATCGCTGGGACAACGAAGATATTTTCCCCTTCACTTTTCTTTTTACTGTGAGCTATTTCATACATACAGAGAAGAATAAAAAACAATGTAAGAAATGTGATGTGTTAAATCCTAGTATGTTTCCTTATTAAAATCAGAAACCCTGAACCAAAGCCCATTAGGATATGGAGCCCGTGCTATGTTAAGAGTGTTAGAAATGGCAGCAAAATTTGGAAATGCAAGACAGGTCAACAAATAACCCTGAACATCCCCAGACACCTGTGCAGTAGAGTGGAAAAAGCCTTTGTAGGGCACTAGGTGGACTTCCCAAGCAGCCGGCATTTGAGGGGACTGCTGTCCAGGGAACGACCCACGACAGGTGGAGGGTCTGCCTCTGGTTTCTCCTTCCCTTGGGGACAGAGGGGACGTGAGAGAGCTGTGTCCCTGCCTCGTGGTATGTGTGGAGGGAAGGTGCCTGAGTTTAGGTGTCTCATTTATCTGCTTCCTTGGACAAAATTTTCCTTCTCCACCGTCAGACTGCTAAGCCACATGATGGCAGAGGCTGTGTCAGATGTGGTCCCTGCCTGTGTCCCCAGAGGGCTCCTTCCCGGGCTCTGGGAGGCATAAGAGGCACACGGGCCAGTCGCCTCCCCTGCTGCTCCGTCCTGTGGAGGCACAGCCTTGGGAGACATCTGCCTGGCCCCTCCCCTCTCCCCCCATGGAAGCCAAAGGGTGGGGAGCTGGCCAACAGCTCGTCTCCGCACCCACTCAGCATGGCAGCACCTTACTCCTCCCTACAGGGAAGCTGAGGCTCAGAGACCGTGAGCAAGTTGCCCGGAGTCCCGGAGCTGGGACCCGAATGCAGGCTCTGGAGATGGCTCCGCACCTCCCTGCCCCTTCGCTTTCTCGTCCGTCTAAGCGGGCTGGGAGAGGACCTGCCTCGAGGGCTGGAGAGAGCGGGCCAGGTGAGCGGCTGCTTGCAGACTCACAACGGTTCCCATACCTTGTAAACACTGTGTCCCGGCTGTGGTGCTTTGTGCTCTCACCACCACCGGCAACACTACTTCACTCACGTGAACGTCGGTTTTGCAGGAGGGAAACCAGAAATGGCAACCGGCATCCTGCTGCGGAGGTGGGGGAGGGACTTTAGCCCAAGGCCCTGGATTTTGCCGCCACCTGGTGGCAGCGTCCTCACACGATGCCCAAGACACCTGACTACTTTCAATACCCAGGAGCACAACCGACAAGCAGCGGCCCACATTCTATAAAACAGGGAGGGTTTTTATTGTGTGGGGGCTTGGCTACTGCAGCGGGCGAGGGGGCAGCCCTTTTCAGCGGATCCTGCTAGCGGGGTCCCTGGGATGCATTGGAGGCCGGTCACCGTGGCGGCGGATGATGGAGTTGATCCAGTTTGCATACTGAGCGACAGGAGCAAAGGCGTCTGGGTAGAACCCGGAGCCGCAGCCTCCCCGGATGAAGGAGTCAATGCCCTGGATCAGCCCGTTGCAGACCAGAGGCCCTCCGGAGTCCCCCTGCGGAGCCAGACAAGGTCGGGACACTAGGCTTCCAGGGCCTCCCGCCCCCTGCGCCCTTCGGGGTTGGGAAGTCCTCCTGGGGTCTGGCTGCACTCCTGGGCGGGGGCTTGGGGGGGACACAGAGTACGTACGAAACAGATGCCAGCCTGCCGGCGCGGCACCAGGGTGCACACATTCGTTTCACGGCAAAGGACGGTCACCACCGTCACGTTGAGCTCCTGCAGGATTCTGGGCGGTGGCCGGTCATTGCCCAGCTGGCCCCAGCCCATGGCCAGGCACCGCACCCCGCTTCCCACTCCTTGATTCTGGGCTGGCAGCCGGGCCACCCGCACGTTGGCATTGATGGTGGCTGACCCGTTGAGCTGCAGCGGAAGGGACAGAGTGCTGAGTGTCATGTGGGGCTGTGGGCGACAACTCTCCCCTCTCTGGGCCCAAGTTTCCCCATCTGAGGCTCCACCGTGGTTCTGGAATCTCGTGGAGCAAGATGACCACCCTGCAACACGCACCCACCCTGACCCTCAGGTTCCCCATCTGTACAGCAGTCGGGAAGGGGGAGTCCCTCCAGTCTGAAGGTGGGTGGGGAATTTTGCCCCATTTCACAAAGACAGGGACTGTCCCTGCCCTCAGCCACAGGGTGCAGATAACGAGTTTGTTGATGGACAGCTGCTCAGAGCTTCCCATTCACCTCATTGAACTCTGAGTGGCCCTGCGGGTGGGGTTTGCCTCCCAGGTCACAGAGCTGGACACTGTACAGAGAGACGACCGCCATTTGAGCCGGCACTCAACTGCCGGCCCAGGTCCCCCCCCTGCCCTGCTGTCCTCACACCTGGAGAATCACGATGTCGTCTGTCAGCCTCGAGGGGTCGAAGCCGTTTTCAAAGACCCGCTCGATGGCGAATGCCTGCCGAGTGGACTCGCGCTGCCCCAGGTCGTGAGCCCCCAGCACCGCCACCACCGACCGGAAGTTTCTGCCATGGGGGAGGGACGGGACGTGACTCGAGGTGGCCCCACAGGCCCAGGACAGGCCCTGGGGGGAGACCGCAGGGGTCTGAACTGAGGGTCTGGGACCGGAAGGCGCTCCTGGGTGACTCACTGGCCATCCACGCAGTGTGCGGCTGACATGATGAACCTCGGGGCGATCAGTGTTGCGCCACAGAAGTGGCCTCCACGCAGCTGCAGGGACACCATGAAGGGCCATGCGTGCGGCTGGGCCTCCCGGCCGCCCACAATCTCTGTGGCCAGCGCAGAGCCTGAGGACACACGGTGGGGTGTGGTGAGGGCTGTGGGGAGCCCCAGCCCCAGGCCAGGCAGCCCTGGACCTCCCGCCGGAAACCACGGGGTTGGCCGGGGCTCTTGACGTGCCTCTGGCCTGGATGAGGCTCAGAGGATGGGGGCAGGAGTGGGGGGCTCTGCAAACCCCTGCAGGGCCCAGCTAGGTCTGGGATCAAGGGACATGGCGTCCCCAGGTGGTGACCCCCATTCAGGCCCCAGCCTCACCCCTGGCAGCCGCAGTCTCCTCTGGAAAGGGGTTTCCTCATTCCCGTGGTCCCATCCCCATGGGGATGAGGGTCCAGGGCAAGTGGAAAGACAGGAACAGACACCCAGGGACAGACAGATGGACGTGTGACCCCACTCACCACCCAGCAGCATGGCCAGCAGGATGGGGGCGAGGGCAGGGGTGGGGGGTCTGTGGCTCCAGGTCATGGTTGGGCGGGTGCTCGGTGTCTCGGCTCCCGTGCCATCTGCCCCTCTTATAGCCCCCAGCCCCGAGGCCGTTGCAGTTGCCCCACGGTGGGGCCACTTCCTCTCCACAGCCTGGGACATGGGGGACCAGGGGGCGGATGATTGAAGAAGGGCAGGAGGGAGGTGGCATGCAAGGGGCTGGAAGGGCTTCAGTAGGGCTGCCAGATAAAACGCACACATTAGGGCCACGCAACTCATTTGATTCATAAACAGGTTTTTTAAGTATGAGTATATCCCAAATATACCACCACAGATATACTCATTTAAAAAGCCAGTTTCACTTGGCATTCAAATTTAACCGGGCATTCTGTGTTTTCTCTAAATCTGGCAGCCCTAGCCTCGAAGGACTTTGGCCGGACTCAACACATGCCTCGGTTTACCGAGGGTGCTGTAATAACTCTGGTGCACCCAGCTCTGCCTTAACATTGTGCAGGGGCGGTGGGGGGGCTGCTGGGTCCCCATTAGAGATGGGAAACTGAGGCACAGCAAGGGCCTCCCCAACGTGTTCCCCCCCACGTGAATGGCGGACAGCTGGAGTTTGAGCCCATTTGAATTGTAATTTGCTGTCCACCCGGCTGAGCCTCGAGCCTCCCTTTCGGGCTCTGGCCTTCTAACCTCTGTTTGTTGCCCCTTACAACAGGGAACTCACTCCCACCCGGGCCAGTCAGTCTCCTCTCGGAAGGAGCCCCTGCCCCCACCCCACCTCTCTGAGCTTCACCGAACCCCAACCCCATGACCCCTGTTCCCCTCCCCGCCTCCCCCGGGATGCTCCAGCTGCAACGGCCAAAGCCCAGGCTGTTGCAAGAGAGGCGACGTTGTCCCAGCTGGGAGCAAGTTTCAGGGAGGCGGCCAACGGATCCCCCTGCAGGCAAGGGCGGGCGGGGGTGCTGGGGCCAGGCTGGAGTCTGGCTTGTCCCTGGGCCCCTGCACATGTGGGTGGTGGCTAGCGAGCCCCCATCTCTGCAGGGAGGAGCCTGCCACGAGCAGGTGCTTGGTGCTTGCATCTAAGTGTTCAGTGCACGTGGCAGCTGCCATGTACCCAGCCCCTGTGCAGCGCAGGAGGCCACGTCTCTAGGGATGTGGCTCTGGCGGGGAGGCCAGATTGGACCAAAGTTGCACTTAGTGGGCACCACCTGTACATATACTATGCTTGCAGATGTAATGGATGAGTGTGTGGACTCTGGGTTCACACCCCAGTGTGCCCACTTGCCCGCTACATCGCTTCACAGCCCTCTACCTCAGTTTTCTTGTCTGTAAAATGGAAGTTGTAGCAAGAGGCTCCATCGCAGGACCTTGTCTCGAGGGTGAAGTGGTAAAATGAATGAACATTTGTAAAATTCTTAGATAAGAAACAGCTGCCCCTGAGGGCTTGTTAGCCCTTCACCACCTCCAGGAGGGCAGGGCGGTGGTTGCCTTGGGGGTGGGACTGGGAAGGACCGATCAGAGATCAGAGCAGCTGGCCTGGGATCAAGAATGTAAGACGTGTGCACGTGACCTGAGTGACACACCACAAGAAAATCATGCTACGAATGTGTTTCCCCACTGCTGCAGCCCTGACCCATAGGGAGTGGCCCCCAGCAACTGACACACCTTCCCCGACCCCCTCCGGGACCCCTCACGCCCCTGAGTACCTCTGCTGAGCACCCTGTTGATTATTCCTGCGGTTCTGTGGTTCCCTGACTCCCAACAACCAGGCCAACACAGCACATCGCGGACCCCCCATCCTCTACACAGTCCCCCGTCAATCCCAGGGTCTGATCTTAGTTCTGAAGAACTTTCCTCTGAGTCATTCACACATATGAGCCCAGAGAAAACACCGAGGGCTGGGTTTTTCTGGGTCTTTCTGTTCCCATCAATGGGTTCGATCAACAACCAACCCCTCACCTCATTTACTCCAGCGGCTGGGCACCAAAAAGTCCTCCTGGGCTTTTTATAGAAACCACTTGCCTGCCTTGGGCCCCTGGGAAATACAGGGAATTCCCAGCATCCCCTTGACATCTGTCAGTACACACTTCCCAGGGTCTTGCACGTGCCCGCTGTGGGCCCTGCTGCTGCCGTACATCCGTACACCTCTTCCTCTGGGACGGTTGGCTGCAGTGCACGAGTTGAAAATGGGGGGAGACTGGGAATTTTTCTACTTGCACAAATGGGCACGCTGCCACCAGGTGGCGGCAGAGTAAGTCAGTAAGGGAAGGACTGGCGCGCCTCTTGAGCACACCGGCCCCCGTCTCTGAGCCTCGATTGCCCCATTCCCAGCTGGCCAGTGACCCTCCTTCTTCCCAGCCTCAGGCTTCTCCTGCAGGCCCTACTCCCCAGTCCGTTTTGGTGGCCCTGCAAGCCTCAGACCCACCGCCTCCCTGACCCGCTCCCCTGCCCGGCCCCTTGCCGTGCTGCATTCCAGCCACACCAGCGGAGCTTGTCCATACCCAGCAGCTGTGCACACACGGAGCCCCAGCCTGGCAGCCCTTCTCCTTATGTTCCTACTCACGCATGGGCAGTCAGATCGGGCATTGTTTCCTCCTCCAGGAAGCCTCCCTAATTGCCTTTCTGCCTCTCCCTGGCCGCACAAGGAGCCCCACAGGCCCTGAGCACCCCAGAACTGGATACAGCATCCTCACCCTCGAGTGCCAGGGTGGGGATCCTTGGACAGGGAAACGCCTGGGGTGACTCCATTTTCCAGATGAGAAAACTGAGGCCAAGGGTCACACAGACAGAGCTGGATTAGAATCCTCGTCCGTGGGTGCTGGGGCCTGGGACCCACTGTGGCCCCAGCCCCCCCACCAGCCTCCAGACCTCTACTCCAACCCCTTCCCACCCAGGTGCTGAGGACCCTCTGCTGTTCTCCCCAGCATCTCCCCACGTGGGAAGCACAGACAGGACCCGGGGCCGGGGGGACGGTTTCAAATTTAGGTGATGTCACCAGGAGGCTGGGCATCTGGCTGCCAGGCTCTGAGAGCCCCATGGGGGCGTCATGGGGCTGTCCAGCGGCATGGGTGGGGAAGAGGCCCTGGTCTGCCTCTGCCTAAAGTTCCCCATGAGGGCCTGTTGACCGGCCTCAGCACCCGGGGTTCTGTAAGAGGGGGCCTCGGGGGCTTCTCAGCCTGGAGAGAGTCCAGTCCACACAGGGGTCAGGGAAGCAGGGAAGAAGTCAGGTCCTGGTGGCGGGTATGTTCCCGGGTCGGGGAGTCTACACCCAGGAGGGTGGTGGTGTTGACTGAGGGCCACCCGAGTCCCCTGGGAGGGGTGGAGACAGGTCGGGCAGTCACCCAGGACATGGCTACTGGGGGCTGCCTAATGCCACTCCGGGTTCAAATGCTTCCCGTCGGGGATTGTCTTTGAGAGGTGTGGACGGGAGAGGGAGATGAGGCCATGCCGGAGGACAGTGGGCGCTGATTGGCCTCCTGCGGTCCACCTGGACCTCTCCATTCTGGCTGTGGCCCCGGAATGAGGCTGCGCAGGCCACCCACTCTTCCCTGGGGTGGGGAAGCCCCCAGACCCACAAGGGCGCCAGGTGCAAATGACAGAAGTGCCTGCTCTGTCCTCCCATCACCTGCTGAGCCCAGGTGGGAGGCTACACAGCCAGCAGCTGCTCCGTGGGGAGGAGATGGGGCTCAAACTCCAGCCTCCCACCTGCCCTGAGGCCCCAGAACCCTCTGCTGTGGGCGGCCCCCACCTCTCAGGAATCCCTCGGCCATGGTGAGGGCTGTTGACAGTGGTGTCATGGACATGGGCAAAGCAGATGCCATTGGGGTGGGCAGCAAGTGTGGGCACACCCTGCAGCCAGCACAGCAAGGAGATCATGGTGACCCAGCTCCTCCAGGCCCCGGGGCGACGGCCTGTGGGTGCCTGGGTGACCCCAACCCACAGCCACGCACTGGGGCAGAGCGCAGACGGGTGGGCAGTGAGACTGTCTCCGGGCCCTGCAGCCACCCCTGCCCCAAGCCCCCAGCGAGTCCCTTCTAGGCCTTTGCACCTGCTGTTCCCTCTGCCTGGCACCCCCACCCACCCTCAGGCTGCACCTTGGAGGTCACCTCCCCGAGGGTTCGACCCCGATGGATCCTCCAAACCTGACTGGAGTCAGTTTTACATTCCATGATGCCACCCAGCCTTGGTTTCCTCTCTCTTAGTGGGAATGATAAAATCCTTTACAGGGATTAAATTACCAAATACAGACAAGAGTGTAATAGACTGTTGGCTGGTGAACAGAGGCACACGCATCCACCCACACATGGAGCACCACGCAGCCACAGAAAGGAGCGGAGCTCTGCCACACACTGCACGCAGACTGTGAACCCACGGTGCTCAGTGAGACGCAGGCACACAGGCCATGTGGGGTGTGACCCCCTTTCTGTGACACATCCACAACAGGTGGACCCAATGAACATGGGCTCATGGGTGCCTGGGGATGGGGAGGGGGTGCAGGGGACTGCTAAGGGGACAGGGTTTCTTTTTGGGGTGATGGAATGTGAAATATATTTCAGTAAAGCTTTAATGAAAAGAAACGTCCATGGCCCACCAGATAACTCGCCCCCATGTCCCCTCTAAGTGTTCTGGTCCAGGCCAGCATTACACGGAGGCCTGGGGGGCAGGGGCTGCCGGAGGCAGGGGCTTAGCGTGGTTGGAAGGTCCCGAGGCTTGGGATGGTGGGGAGCCCTGGGGGGTTCCTGGGGGAGCCCTCTGGGGCCTCTGAGGGTTTGGGCTGGTGAGCAGAGGGGAAGCAGGGAGCCCTAGGGAGTTGAAGCTGGGGGGACCCTCTGTGGGGTCAGATGGTGGGCGGAGGGGAAGCATGACCAGGAAGCTGTGGCCTCAGCCCCTTCCCGCTCCAACGGTGGGTGGTGCAACAGGTAACGGCTGTGGGGCCAGGAAAGCAGGCCAGGGCGGGTGGGGGCCGGCCGGGGGGTCCCCCCAGCACGGCGGGAAAGAGCGGGAGGCTCAGCATCTCGTGTCTCTGGCCCCACCCTGCTTCCTCTCCTGTCCTTAGAAAAACGCTCCGTTTTCCACTGTGTCAGTACTGGGGTACTCTGAGCTGGTGACCTCAACCCCTCTCGGACCTCAGCTTCTCCGCCTGAACAGTGAGTAGGCAGTGCTGTGACCAACCTCAGTCCCGGGGGCGGGGGGGGGCCCTGGGACCAATCAGGATTCCTGAGCCACCGACATGCCTCTGTCTCCCCAGCAGTGAAATGGGTTCATGAGAACACCACAAACCTTGGAGGCTGGTCGGCTTGGGTGAGTGCCGGGGGCTTCTGGGGACAGGAGGTCGCACTGGGGGCATCCAGGTTCAAGACGTGGGGTTACAGGGCCCCTCATAGGCCCCTATGCCATACAACTCTGCACAGATGCTGGCGCCTCTGAACCCCAATCCTCAGCTGCATGATGGAGAAGTAAGTCCCCAACCCCAAAACAAACGGACATTTTTGTGGGCCCTTGGTGCGCCAGCCAGCCAACAAGAAGGTGTCTCCCCTGCCACACACACACTGTTCTGCCCCATGTCTGACCGTCTCCATGTTTCCACTGTCCCACGAAGACCCCTCCAGTCAGTGAACCAAAGTGCCCAGACCTTCTACACAGCTGAATAATACTCCCCTGGTGGGTGAACTAGTTTGTGCATTTTGTGGTCTTCTGACGGGAAACCCAGACCATTTGCAGTCTCTTTTCCTTCTAGCCACATGGCAGGAACTGCCCCTGCACCCTCCTTGCCTGGGCAGTAAACCCCCACGGGAGGCACACTGCCTCAGATGCCCCTAGATCCGTCCCTGTCCAGTTTCCCTCCCACCAGGCAGACGCCCACCGTGTCCTCACACAGCAGCCCTTAGGCACACCCCACAGACCCGAAAAAGGGTACATCCCAGCAAGGTTGGTCACACCCGTCATACAACCAGCCAGCGTGTCTCCACATCGCCAAGAGCCTTTCTGTTCCTTTGCTGCGAACTGTTTTTTTGTTGTTTTATGATCGTCATCTCAAGATATAATTTCAAATTCTCAGTTATTACAAAATCTGGCATTATTAACTCATCTGTGGCATCCAGTGCATCATCACTATGTTTGTGTGTGTGAACTGTTTACATTCTGTACCTGGTTTTTTTTACTACTGGGATGCTTTTTTTAAATTGATTTTAGGTGCTCTTTATATATTACATGTATTGTGATTATATGTTATTATATATTTTGTATATTTAAAAATATATAATACATAGTAATATATAATAAATAATGATAGATTTCACCTTTTATTTTAGTAAAATTTCTTAGTATAATAAACTATAATATATAGCGTATCATTATTCTTACATATACATATTGTTTTTATATCATACTTATTATCCAATGTTTGTATTTCAGCTCTTTCTATCTTAGGTACATCAGCCTTCAGTGATTCAAACAGCAAATCAAATTTTGCCATTTTCTCATGTGCCTTTTGACTCTGCTGCACAATATACTGGATTCTCGACCCAAAGGAGAGGTGATTAAGAGGGTCAGGTATGTCACAGACTTATGCTCAAAGCCCACAGTGGCTGTGTGACCTCGGGTGAGTAACTCAGCCTCTCTGAGCCTTGGTGCCCCTCTTTAGGTGGAGACGACAGCCCCAGGTTCTCAGGGCCAGGAGTGAAAGCCTTGTGGGCTGGATGCCACCAATGTTTGCTAACTCCTTCCCCCCGGAACTCCCGCAGAAGTCAGACTCAGAGGAAAGAAAGGATTCTTTCCTAGGGCCCAGACCATGCAGGCTGGGGCAGGGGGCCAGGCCCGGAGGCGTGGTGGGTAGGGTCTGTGAGAGGTTGCAGGCCCCCCACGGGCTTGGTAGGGGTTCCCCAGGGGTTCCTTGGGCCAGCTTGGGACAGAATTGATCCAGTCTCGGAGTCGTACCACGCAGGTGAAGAAGTTGGGGCCACACCACAAGATTGCAGAGCAGAGGCCACACCAGGTGCCTCTTTACAGATGCGCTAAGTGTCCCCATCACCCTGGGTGGGCAGCAGGCCAGCCAGGGCACCCCCAGGCCCAGCCCCCTGCTCCTCTCCCACCTTGGTCTGGCTGACCTTTACTGGTAGGGGTCCCAGATGCCTTCAGGAACTTCCTGACACCCCCAGACTGGGTCACCTCCTGGGGTGACCCCAATGTCCTGTGTGCACCCCTATCTTGATAGACGTCTGACTGCCCCCAGACATAGGGGGGTTCCCAAAGGGCGGGCCTGCTCTGTCCCGTTCCCCACTGTGTCTCCAATCCCCCGCACAGGACTTGGCACACGGTGTTTAATGAATACTGCTTCTCATGAAGCTAAGATGCTCGACTGCTGGAAACATCCAATCCCAGCTCCCAGGACCCTCATCCTGGACTGGCTTCCTCCTGCCACGGGGACCCACGCCGCGTGCCTCCAGGCGCCGCCCTGGCCAGTGAGGACCCCAGTGCGCACAGTGTTGGGGCGACTCTGTTATGCCATCGTAACAGAACATCTAGAAACAACTTCAGCGGGAGGTAGACAAGCAGACTGCGTCCATGTTTGTACTTGGCGGTATGACTTGAGCCACACGGCTCCCCTCCCCGCTAGACCCTCAGGCTGTCGCCGCCCGCAGCCTGCAGATTGTGCTGGGACGTCATAGTCTGTCTCCTGCTGCCTCAGGCCCCGGGCCCCCAGCGCCACCCTAGCGATTGCGGGGTCCCTTAACGGTGACCGGGGCAGAGGAGCAGCACCAGCCCTGGGGGTGGGCACGTGGAAACCACTGGTGGGTCCTCAGAAAGTCAGGTGCAGATTTAGAATTACAGTGTGGTCTGGCCACTCCACCTGCGGGTCACTGCCCAAGAGAACTGGAGACAGGGGCTCAAATACTTGGTCACACATGCGCACGGCAGCAGGATGTCACAGCGGCCACAAGTGTCCACGGACGCGTGAGTGGGACACACACACAGGTCTCGCACACGTAGCACCACGCAGCCAGGCAAAGGCGTGAGGCCTGACACAAGCTACACAAGGATGGGCCCCAAGCACGCACCGCTGGGCTCAGGCGTGGTCCCCACGGGCCCCAGGGGCAGGCCTCATAACTCCGTCCTCCCCAATCCCTTCCGGCCTTCTGCCCTCCTAAGGCCCGGACTCTCTGTCCACCCCTTCCTCTGCCCCGTGGACCAGGCCTGCCGTCTTGGCCAGAGCACAGCAGGAGAGAAGAGAGAGATTACAGGTCCACCCCTTCCCAGTTAGGTGACCTCAGGGTCCCCTCTCTGGGCCTCAGCTTCCCCATCTGGGCAATGTGGTGGGGCAGGCACAGCCCACCGCCACAGAGCTGTGGTGGGCGTCCAGTGGGCTGATTTGCGTAAGAGGTTTTGAGTGGCATAAGCTGTGCACACCCCCCATGCCTGCTCTGAAGTCCCCCATGGCTCCCTAGCGCCCCAGGCTAAAGCCCAGCACCCCCCAGCCGGGCAATGTGCCCACAGCCAGGCCTTGCCCCGTCTCCACCACGGGGAACCATCCCTGATCCTGAGATTCTCCCACACCCTCCCCAGACCCCTGGGTCACCATGAGGGTCCCCCAAAGAGCCCCCAAGAGCGATTGCCCTGTCTTCCACTCCCCTTCCTGCCCCCATGGTCACCTTTCAACACCAGGATTCCCAACCACGACCCAGGCTTCACCCCTGCTGTCAGGGGAAACGGAGGCCCGGCCCCCCACTGGGCATCACGAGGCAGGACCCGCAGCGCTGGTGTGCCCAGCACGGCGGGGCCTTGGAAGGGCAGCTCACTATGCCCGTTTACCAGAGAGGAAACCCGAGGCCCCAGTGGGGTCTGAATCCTGTTCGCAAAACGGGCAGGGCCGAGTCTCTTCAAACAAGCGGCACCAAAGCCAGGAAGGGGGTGAAGTGTGAGGGGCCGAGTGGGAATAAAGACTGGGAGGCACTCAGCCGATGCCGCTCATCTGTGTAACCCCGACTGGACGCTGAACTGTGGGATGGACCATCAGGCTCTGTCCCCGCTCCCAGGGGCTCCCCGGTGACCGCGCCTGGTGTACAGTAGGTGCTCAGGAGATGGCGACTACACGAACGGGGTAAAATCCTGCCATTTGGGGCCCTGGAGACCTTGGCAGTGATTTACGTTCCCAGGACTCAGTTTCCCCACTGGTAGAACGAGAGGTCGGCCAGTCCCTACACCACGTGGGTGGGCGCGGTGAAGACGGATCGCCTGCGAAAAGGTTCGGTAGGCTCACTGCGGGGACGCCCCCTGCCGCCCCCACACCCCGACACCCGGGCCGTGCGCCCGCCGACCCGCCGGAGGAGGGGGGCGCTGGGCGCGCGCAGGGGCGCGGACGCGCCTCTATTGTCTCCCGAGGGCTCGGCGCCCTGGGCGCTCGCCGTGGAAACGGGCGCTGGCGCGGGGCGGGCACCCGGGAGGGCGACGGCGGCGCGGAACCGGGGGAACCCCCCGATCCCCACTCCCAGCCTGCGTGCCCGAGACCCCCGAGAGCGGGGGCTGCACACGGGCGCGCGCCGCGCCCCCGGCCCGCCGAGACAAAGAGCCCCCGCCCCGCGCGCGCCGCCGGGCCCCCTCCCCGCCGTCCTCGGCCCCGCCTGTGCGGAGGGGCGCGCTTTGTGCCCGCCGCCAGCTCCGCCCTCCGAGCGCCCGCGCGCCAGGTGAGGGGCCTGCGGCGCCGCGCCCGACCCCACCCTTCCCCCCGGCCCCGGCCCCTCGGCCGCCCGGAGATCGAGCGGCCAGGCCGGCCCCGCCCTCGGCCGAGCCCCCTCCCGACCCCCCAGTCCGCGGGGTGGGGACGCCCGCAGCCGGGCTGTCTGGGCGGGCCGCGGGGGCGTCCTCCGCCCCAGCCCCAGTTTCCCCGGGTGGCTCTTGCGCATCCTGCCCGGCCCGCCCCTCCCCTGCAGGCGCCGGGCCCCGGGTCCCCCCCACCCACCCACGGGCTCAGCCTGCGCCTCCCTGCCTCCGGCGCGGCTTTGTCTCCTCCAGCCAGGCCTGTGGCTCCCGCGGCACCATGATTTCCACCAAGGAGCAGAATAAAACCCCGAAGGACAGCATGACGCTTCTGCCCTGCTTCTACTTCGTGGAGGTGAGTGGGGGGCACGGGGGTGGGGGTCGCGCTGCTGGGGGCCGGGGCAAAGGCCTTAGTTACACCGGCCCTCGGAGACCCCACGCGGAGGGACAGGGCCGGCACAGCTCAGGTCAGCATCGGGTGGGGGCACAGCAGGTGCCTGGGAGTTGGGGGTCAGGGAAGTTGGGCCCTGCAGGTCGAGTAGGAGTCTCAGGGGCGCGGCCAGCTGTTGCGGGCTGCAGAAACGTCCTGGGCAGCTGCTGGGAGGTGGGACCTTCAGCCGGGGGTACAGGTCACTAGCTCACCGGAGGGGCTGGAGCAAGGTGCTGGGGGCCGTGAGGGGTGGGGGTAGGGCCCTGTCTTCCTCCAGCATTTGGGCTCTGAAGCCTGAGGGTCTGAATTCAAGTCCCTGGTGTGCTGAGGGGGAGGCTGGTACACGTGCCCTAAGCTCTCTGATACAACAGGCCTGGCCCGTGGGGTGGGGCGGGGGACGTTATAAGTGTTTAAAAATCAAAAGATGATAACCAGGGCCCCCTGGCACAGACTAAGCACTGGCGATGGCCCAGAGTGACACCTCCGTGCTTGGACGTTCAGCACCTGCTTTAGTCTCCCTGTAGCTTCGATCCTCCTGCCTTGACAGGCCAGGAGACCCCCTCACCAGTGAGGGGCCAGGCAGGGCGTGGGTGCTGAGGGCTTGTCCCAGGCCAGTGGGTCCCTCCACAGGCAGAAAATAGGATTATATTTTGCATTCGCACTTACATCCCAGTTACGGTAGATTATGCCTTCTCCGGTTCCGCAACCTGGGGGTACAGCCCCCACTCCTGCGCCTTTCTGCAAAGCGTTTCACACATTCAAGCCCCTCCACCGTGTGTCCCTTCCCCGCCACCTTATGTCACAGGTATTTGCTCTGGCTTTTCCTCTGGCGTTTCCTGGTGCCACCTGCCTTGTCGTGGCTTTGCAGTGCCTCCAGCCCTGAGGCCTGTGCCCTGGTAGCTGGACCCGTGGGGGTCTCCAGGTCTTTTGTCATCTCAGACATTCCTGTGTCTCTGGGCACAGAAGTGACCTTATCTGCAGGATGCATCCCCAGGGGTAGAGTGCCCACTTGTGAAAGACCCCAGACTCTCCCCCTCGAGGCTGGCATTTATACGCCCATGCGTGTGCCTGTTTACTCACAAGCGTGCCAGCAACGTGTGTGAGCAGTGTTTTGTATTTTAACCAGCCTGTCAGCCACAGAACCCCGTGCCAGCTCATTTGCATTTCCTTTACTGAGAGTATTATGTTAAGTGTTTTTTAAGCACACACGTGCACCCCAAGACTACGTATGCTGGCAGGACGACGTGTTTGTGTATCATCTTTGTTTGGGCCTGATGAGCAGGGCTTCAGAAGCAATGAGAGATGAGTGGTGGGATTCAGGAGGAACTTAACAGACCCTTCACAGGTGGTGGGCTCCTGTGTAGCGGCTCCGGCTGCCAGTTGCTCGGCATCCTGCCTTCAGTGCAGCCCAGCAGGGGGAGATGGGGCCGAGTGCTGAGGGCATGGGAGGTGCCAGACCAGGCCCGATGCCAGCGGCCATGCTGCCCGGAGACTTGCAGAGTCACGGGGGGCCCACAGACAAGAGACCTCCAACAACCCTTCTGCTGAAGGATTCCAGGTTTTTAAGATTGTGCTCGGGACCCCCAGGGGGGCCTGATGTCCACTCACCTCGCTGGTCCCATGGACAGTGGTCATGGAAGCTCACACTGAGGGCTCCACGTGCAGCAGGCATCGAGCACTCCTAACACACTCACTCATCCGGTCCTGGGCCGCAGCCCTGGCGGGCGGCGACTTTCTCACTCTCGTTTTTGGCCGAGGAAACTAAGGCGTGGAGCCAGGATCCACGTTCAGGCAGGCAAACCACCCCACGCAACTGCCTTGGGCTTCGGGCCTGCACACAGCAGGCACTCGGTGGTGCTCCCTGGACACGAACCTGACCCCTGCAGATGCATCTCTGGCATTTCCCCTCCAGAAGGGGCCAGGCACAGGCTGGGGCCCTCTTATGGCACCTGAGTCCTCATCTGCAAACAGGTGGGAGCTGCCTGAGGGGGCTGCCTGCATTTCCAGTCCCCACAGTCCCCACAGTGCCAACGCCTGCCTGGCCCCGGGGGAGGGGGTGTCTGAGTTTGCGAGCCCGGGACCAGAAGGGGTCCACAACAGGAGTCTGCTTCCGTCACAAGACCTGTAGCCGGCTCCCTGGCTGTCCATGCTTGTGTCTGAGACTCGACCGGGAGCAGCTCAGCCTTCCTGTCTGTACCCTCTGGGTGTGAGGAACATCATGTGTACTGTGTGTGCACGGCCCCCGGGGGTCACGACAGGGTGTACAGAGGGACACATGCAGGAGTGGATGACTCTGTCCGGGGCCGTTGTGTTCTTGGGGCTGAGGAAGGTTGGCACATTGGCACGTAGGAGGGCAGGGTCCAGAGGACATAAAGCAGCGCGACGCAGATGGGTGGCCAGGGAGCGGCTCTCTTAGGAGGCTCAGGGCACCGGAGAGCTGTCCGAGGGCATCCGTCCATCCCAGAGAGGAAGAGCCCAAGAGGAGGAATGTGTTTACTGGTTCTGGACTGGTCAGGACGGTAGAGTGGCTGGACGGGAGTGGTTGGGTGATGGGTGGGTGGATGGATGACGGGTGGGTGGGTGGGTAAGTCAGTGGACCGTGCATGAATCCGTGAGTATAGGAATGGCTGGGCTGGCTGTCAGGGTCCGTGTGTGACACAGATGAGTTGCGGTGGCGGGTCTCTGGGAGGCGAATGAGCCGAGGCTGGTGGGCTACAGCCTGGCTTGGTGGTGCGTGGGGAGTTGGGAGGGGCCCGTGGCCGTGTGACCCAGGGTGAGCGTGGTGACCCCGGCAGCCATCTCCCGGCAGCTGCCCATCGTGGCGTCCTCCGTCGTGTCCCTGTACTTCCTGGAGCTGACTGACCTCTTCAAGCCGGCCAAGGTGGGTTTCCAGTGCTATGACCGCACGCTCTCCATGCCCTACGTGGACACCAGCGAGGAACTCATTCCTCTGCTCATGCTCCTCAGCTTGGCCTTTGCCGCCCCGGCAGCCTCGGTGAGTCCCTGGGGGCCCGGCCGGCTGCACGCCCCCGACCGGGATCCGGGCTAAGCAGGTCTCTGTTGGGCAGATCATGGTGGGCGAGGGCATCCTGTACTGCCTGCAGTCCCGGCCATGGGGCCGCGGCGGCCGGGATGGGGCCGAGGGTAGCATCCACGCTGGCGGCTGCAGCTTCAGCTCCTTCCTGCGGCGCACTGTGCGGTTTGTGGGTGAGTTGCCAACCGGCGTCCCGGCCCCACCTGAGCCCCACGCACCCAGCTGCACACCCGGCCCTGACCCTTCCGCCCCACAGGTGTCCAGGTGTTCGGCCTGTGTGCCACGGCTTTGGTGACCGACGTCATCCAGCTGGCCACGGGCTACCACGCGCCCTTCTTCCTCACGGTCTGCAAGCCCAACTATACGCTGCTGGGCACGCCCTGTGAGGCCAGCCCCTATGTCACGCAGGACATTTGCTCCGGCCACGACAGCCATGCCATCCTGTCTGCACGGTGAGCCGCCCTGCCACTGCCCTGGGCGTGCAAAGAAGCTGGGGCACAGAGGCGTCCCAGAGCCGTGGGGCTCACGTGGGCACCTCTTACAGGAAGACCTTCCCGTCCCAGCACGCCACGCTGTCCGCCTTTGCGGCTGTCTACGTGTCGGTGAGTCCCGCCCCCGGCCCGGGCACGCAGCGGGGCTGTGGCCACCCTGACCTGCCCACCCGCCCCCCAGATGTACTTCAACTCGGTCATCTCGGACGCCACCAAGCTGCTGAAGCCCATCCTGGTGTTTGCCTTCACCATCGCCGCCGGCGTGTGCGGCCTCACCCAGATCACGCAGTACCGCAGCCACCCCGTGGATGTCTATGCTGGCTTCCTCATCGGTGCGGGCATCGCCGCCTACCTGGTGAGGGGCTAGGGGGTTGCCCCAGAGCGCCGGGCTGGGGCTCTCACGAGCTCAAGCTGGCCGAGGTGGGGAGTGGCCCCAGGCTGGGACTTACGGCGTTGGGTAGAGGTGGGCTTGTCCTCAGACTCTCCTGCCCCTCCGGGCCCCTGGCAGGTCTGCACCTGGGCGGCCCCGGGTCCCCAGCCTCAGCCCCGGCCTGCATCTCACCCCCAGGCCTGCCATGCAGTGGGCAACTTCCAGGCCCCACCTGCGGAGAAGCCAGCAGCCCCGGCACCTGCCGATGATGCGCTGCGGGCGCTGACCCAGCGGGGCCACGACTCTCTGTACCAGCAGAACAAGTCTGTGAGCACGGACGCCCTCGGCCCGCCAGGGCGGCTGGGGGGGGTGGCCCGGCCTGTGGCCCGCGAGAAGAGCTCGCTGGGCAGCGTGAAGCGCGCCAGCGTGGACGTGGACCTGCTGGCCCCGCGCAGCCCCATGGGCAAGGAGAGCATGGTGACCTTCAGCCACACGCTGCCACGTGTCAGCACACCCTCGCTGGACGACCCTGCCCGCCGGCACATGACCATCCACGTGCCGCTGGACGCCTCCCGCTCCAAGCAGCTCATCAGCGAGTGGAAGCAGAAGTCGCTGGAGGGCCGGGGCCTGGGGCTGCCCGACGAGGCCAGCCCGGGGCACCTGCGGGCACCTGCCGAGCCCATGGCCGAGGAGGAGGAGGAGGAGGAGGAGGGGGAGGGGGAGGGAGAGGGGGAGCACGGGGGGCCGGCCCCACCCTCGCTGTACCCCACGGTCCAGGCTCGGCCGGGTCTTGGGCCTCGAGTCATCCTCCCACCACGGGCTGGGCCGCAGCCCCTGGTGCACATCCCCGAGGAGGGGGTGCAGGGAGCCGGCCTGTCCCCCAAGAGCAGCACGGCTGTGCGGGCCAAGTGGCTGATGATGGCCGAGAAGAGCGGGGCCGCCGCGGCCGCGGCCACAGCCGCCACCCAGCCCCGTGTGGCCAACCCGCCGCGGCTGCTGCAGGTCATCGCTATGTCCAAGTCTCCGGGCGGGCCAGGCCCCAAGGCGGCCGAGACGGCCTCCTCCTCCAGCGCCAGCTCCGACTCCTCGCAGTACCGGTCACCCTCGGACCGCGACTCCGCCAGCATGGTCACCATTGACGCACACGCGCCGCACCACCCCGTGGTCCACCTGTCTGCGGGGAACGGGCCCTGGGAGTGGAGGGCCGCGGGTGGTGGGGCCCAGGGAGTGGAGGGCGAGGGTGACTATGAGCTGGGCGACCTGGCTCGCAGCTTCAGAGGGCCCAAGCCACAGGGCGTGTCTCCCGGCTCATCGGTCAGCGACCTGGACCAGGAGGAGCTGCGGTTTGGGACTGTAGCCACTGTCAACCTGGTCACAGGCGAGGGGCTGCCCCCGCTGGGCCCAGCTAGCCGGGAGTCAACGCTGCGGCGCCAAGCAGGTGCCCTGCTGTTGGGCGAGCGTGAAGCCCCAGGTGAGGGGGCACCGGGGAGTTACTACCGGAAGGTGCAGTCAGCCCGCAGGCTCCAGGACTGAGGCCCACGGAGGCGGGTGGGGGGTTGGGAGGGGGCTTGTGGGTAACAGCACTTCAGTCAATAAACAGTCCACACTGCAGCCTTGGCTGTCTTCTTGGTCTGAGGACCCACATAGGTAAGGGCCTGGGGAATGCTGTGTATGGCGGGGGTGGGGGCTGCAAGGAGCAGGGTGGCCACTCAGCCCAGTGCAGCTGGGGCCCCTGCCCTCCAGGGCCACGTGAGGGAAGCAGGGGCCTAAGCCCACCAGGCAGGAGGTTGGTTGGGGGAGGCAAGTGGCACAGGTAGGTGACCTTGAGGCCAGCAGACTGGCACACTGCCCACCAGCACCCACAACACAAAGGAGCCCAGGAGCAACTGTGGTAAAATCGCTTTTTAATTCGGTTCTCTCCACATTATAAGCCGTCAGGCGGCAGGGATGTGCTGGGCCCCGCAATACAATACTGAGCCTGTAATTGCTGTTATCAAAATATACATCTGTGTCCCATAAAAAACCGTGTTTGCTGCCCCTCACGTCTTACAACAGGTATAAAAAATTATAAATATTTACACCCTTGTTCCACCCCAATAATGGAAATTTGGGGGTCCAGACCCCAGGGAGAGGCCAGCCAGCACGGGACCCGAGCACAGGACGTGTAGGAGACCCCCCTTCTGGGGTCCCAGCATCAGAGGCAGACAAAAAACAGAAACAGAACTTTGGTCCAAAACTTGCAGAAAGAAAGCAACCCTGGAAGTTTAGGAGCGCTTGTACTCCTGGGTGGAGGGTGGTCAGGGTAAGGCATCCGGGGGTCTCAGATGGGTGGCCGAGGCCTGGGCCCCGGCTCATCACGTCTGCCCTGCGGCTCGGGTAAAAGGAGTACAGTATGCGAGGTCACACAGAGGAGGCGTATGTTACTCAGACCATCTTTATCTTGCTATATAAAAAGTTACTCAAAACTATTTCTTTTGCATATAAATGAAAAAAAGATTAGAATATTTGGTCACTGGAAATATCGCTAGGCACAGATGTCTGCATTGAAGCTGATACAGAGACTATGGTGAACCAGAGCTCCAAAGCTGAAGCCAATGGGGCGCCCCGGGCTTGCCTGGGGTGGGGGAATCACACGCTTAATTGAGTGGGTGGGGGTGTGGGCCGGACCTGCCGCACAGCCTCCCGCCACAGGACCCCACGGGAGGGCCTGCTCCCCCAAACCCCCACGCTTTTGCTACCCAAGAAGGCCCTGCTGGAGCAGCAGGCTTAAGGCACGGGAGAGCCGAGTGAGGTTTGGGAGCGCCCGACCCACGGAGGCCGCAGAAGGCACTGGGAGGGCCGGGGCGGGGAGCTGGCGCACTGTCCACGTGCCGCCGCCGAGAGCCCAGGGGCCGGCACCCGACTCCCCAAGGTGAGCAAGGTGAATTCCATTTAATTTTTTTAAAAACAGGTAAACTGATTTCTCTTTAAAAAAATAAAATCTCTGGTCTTTTAAGGTCACTTCAGCTGCTTTAAAGTGGCTTTCTTCTGGAATGACGGAAGTGTGGCCGGCCCGGCGGGAGGTCCCAGCCTAGATGGTGGACTTGGAGAAGGACACACGCAGGTGGTGGTTCTCGCCCAGGTCATGGTTGTGCAGGTCGATGAGGGCCTGGATGGCCTCCTCCACGGAGCCCATCTGGATCAGCGCCATCTTGCGGTCCTTCCTGGAAGACAGGGCGAAGGGGTGGGGTGGGGGCCCCAGGACGTGAGGAGATGGGACTGGGGGCACCTAGGACGTGAGGGGGAGGGGCTATGCTCACTGGAAGAACTTGAATCCCTTCACGATCCCGCCATTGCTGGAAAAGAGCGCCTTGAGGTCATCCTCTGACACGGAGGGCCTGCAGGGAAAGGAGACCTGAGCCACACGGGGTTTGCCAAGCAGAACAGGGCGGCTGCAAGATCTGGAGACACCTGGAAGCCTCACCCCCACCCCGGACCCTAGGCGGCGCCTGACTGCGTACGGGATATTGGACAGGTGCAGGGTGGCTGAGGGCGGGAAAATATTCTGGAAGTTCTTGGAGCCAGGCTTCTTGAAACGGTGCAGTGGCGAGTTGCCATAGTCCTTGGTGAGGCCCTGGTCCTCCTGGCCCTCACGGGGCAGCTGTACATTCTGGTGCTTGGACAGCGTGATGCGCACAGGCTTCCCATGCAGTTTGTGCCCGTTGAGGTGGCTCATGGCTGGGGAGGCAGGACACACGTGACCAGAGGCCCACACACCTGCCCCCCCCAGCGTCCCCCCCCCAGCACCTCCCCTTACCCAGCTGGGCCTGGCTCCCGTCTGCCATCTGCACCAGGGCGTTCTCCTTCTTGTTGAACAGGATCTTCACCCGCTGCACATCCCCATACACGCCTTCAAAAGCACAGGACGGGCGCTGAACTCCCACCCACCACTGCCGCCCTGCCAGCCCCCGCGCCCCGCACACCCTTGCAGGGCTGCTCTTCCCGCAGGCTTGCGTATTCTGCCTCTGGGGGCCTGCGTCTAGTCGGGGAGCGGTACCAGGAGGACCACCTTCCGCCAAGGTCAACATCCAGGAACGTCAAATTGCCAGAGAACCACCACTTAGCATGCTACCAACACATTAACTCTTCGAAAAGCATGCGGGGCAATAACCATGCGTGTAGAGTCAAAGTAATATGCAAACTGAAGGCAAGCCGCGCATGGAGGCAGAATGCCAAACTGCAAATCATAGTACATCTCAGGGCGTCAAAAAATACCCTCAATTAAATGAAAAGGTAATAAAAGTGTGAAATGATAACATACCGAAAAGAATAAAGAGGCTTTGGGGTGTGACTCTCTTTAGAGGACAGCAGAGCAAGGCAGCGAGGGACAGGGAAAGGGAGAGGCCAGGGGGCGAGGTGCCAATCGTCCGCGGAGGCAGCCCCACAGGCGTGCAGGTTGATGGATGATGAAGTTGTCAGGATGTTAATATTCAAGGGCAGGTTGGTTTCCGGAGAGCAGGGTTTGAGGGGGAATTTTGTTTTTATTTATTTATGGTTTTGTTTTGTTCAAGCAACACAGGAAGCAGAAGTACCGTGCAGTCAGTTGGCAAAGAAATTCCGGATCAGGGCAAGAAAAAAAATTGGGAGAGGGGAAGGGGAGAAAAGAAAAAAGTAGCAAAAAAACACAGGTCAGTAAATACATAAGAAAACGAGTGCTCCATCAGTCAAGATCTACACATTGGGTCACAGGGTCACCTTGCAGACACAGGCAGGAGACAGGGCCGCGGCCCGGCGCCCCGCACACCGCACCCCTGCTGCCGGCTGCGCAGCCTCTCAGCGCTCACACAAGCACGCGGCAGTTAGTGAGGGCTTCCCAGCGCGGGCCTCACAGCTGGGGGCGGGAGGGGGGCCCCAGGCCAGGCAACCAAGGAGGGTCAGAGACCAGAGAGCAGCCTGAAATGCGGCACAGGAACCCCATCTTTCAAGAGTTAACTATCTTGAGCCTGTTATGACCTAACCCGAGCTCTTGCCAATCTGGATGTGGACGTGGGCCGGCACTGGCCACCACTGCCCATCACACAGAGCACCCTAGCCAGACCACGGCTTGCGTGGCTTCATGCTAAGACCACACCACGCACCAAAAGCTACTTCAGCTCTGAATGTTATGGAATTGGAAACGTAAATCAAGATATCAAAGAGACAGAACGCCGCATACTCGGGAGGGGCGCCGAGGGGACCTGGGCTGCCTGCCACCTGCTCTGAGACCTGAGGCCGATTGCCCACTTGTGCCTCCAGGAGCGATGGCCTGGAAGGAAGAGCACGTACCTCGGGGCTGAGGTTGCTGACCAAGAGGACAGAGTTGCCTGCGCCTGCCAGGCCAGGGATGGCAATCCGGCCTGCTGCAGCAGCCGCCGCCGCTGAGGGGATAGCCAGGGGGGCCAGAGCCCCATGCACATTTGGAACTGACAGACCTGGGGAGAGAGGGACCGGAAGGTTGAATGGCACCCATGTCCCTGTCCCGAGGGGAGCAAGGGTCCTGCCTGGCCTCATCAGAAACAAATGGCCAGAAGGTTCACAGGCCCTCTTGCCACAGCCGCTCCTCCACACTCTCCTTGCAGCACAGACCACACCGGCTGGGACCCACCCCCGTGTGCCCAGCAGCACAAAAGCTCAGGCCCATGGTGCAGGATGGGCTTGGCTGGCCAGCGTGCACAAACCATCCCCTTCCCAGTGCCATGCCAGGCAGAATGTCACAAAACCACAAATACCATGAGGCGCTCCACGATGGAGGCAGCTATGTCTGCCTCACAGTGCCCCTTGCCAGGCCATCTAACCCACCAACTAGGGTCGTATCCCTCCAACAACCTGCGCCTGTTATGCTGCTTGAAGGGAGTCATACCAGACCCTGTGGCCACGGCCGTCCTACAACTGCCCTAGCAGGGCTCCTTGGGGAACCCAGGGGACCGCACCCGCATCAGCTGCACAGAGGCAGAGCTACACAGAGTGGACATGCAGGATCGGCGATGGGGACCAGCACAGAGCTTTCAATACCTGCAGCTTGAGGGATGGCAAACGTGGGAGGGAAACCAGCTCCTGCATACGGAGAGGCTGACATTATACCAGGCGCACCTAGAAACAAACGAGACGCTAATCATCGCACACGCCGCCTGCCTCGCCTCACCAGGGCAATGGCTGCCAGCACCCCACAGGGCAGGTGCCCGGTGCTGGTGGGTGGCTCACCAAAGGCGGCAGCCATGGTCTGGTCCAGCGAGGGCTGGCTGTCACCCGAGGGCAGGTCGGGGCGTGTATAGTCTCGGCTCTTATCGTTGTTGTACTTGACATTGAGGCTGGTGAGCTTGGAGAAGTCGATGCGCAGTGTGCAGCAGGCATTGTAGATATTCTGCCCATCCAGCGACTGCGGGTGTTAGGGAGGCTGTTGTCAGGGCCAGCAGCAGGGTGAGGTGAGGCACGGCAGGGCAGGGCAAGGGTGCCTCCCACTTACCAGCTTGGCGTGCTGGGCACTCACAGGGTCCGCGTACTGGAGCAGTGCCTGGAACTGGTTGTTCTTGGTGAAGGTGATTATCTTCANAGGCACTCGGTGGTGCTCCCTGGACACGAACCTGACCCCTGCAGATGCATCTCTGGCATTTCCCCTCCAGAAGGGGCCAGGCACAGGCTGGGGCCCTCTTATGGCACCTGAGTCCTCATCTGCAAACAGGTGGGAGCTGCCTGAGGGGGCTGCCTGCATTTCCAGTCCCCACAGTCCCCACAGTGCCAACGCCTGCCTGGCCCCGGGGGAGGGGGTGTCTGAGTTTGCGAGCCCGGGACCAGAAGGGGTCCACAACAGGAGTCTGCTTCCGTCACAAGACCTGTAGCCGGCTCCCTGGCTGTCCATGCTTGTGTCTGAGACTCGACCGGGAGCAGCTCAGCCTTCCTGTCTGTACCCTCTGGGTGTGAGGAACATCATGTGTACTGTGTGTGCACGGCCCCCGGGGGTCACGACAGGGTGTACAGAGGGACACATGCAGGAGTGGATGACTCTGTCCGGGGCCGTTGTGTTCTTGGGGCTGAGGAAGGTTGGCACATTGGCACGTAGGAGGGCAGGGTCCAGAGGACATAAAGCAGCGCGACGCAGATGGGTGGCCAGGGAGCGGCTCTCTTAGGAGGCTCAGGGCACCGGAGAGCTGTCCGAGGGCATCCGTCCATCCCAGAGAGGAAGAGCCCAAGAGGAGGAATGTGTTTACTGGTTCTGGACTGGTCAGGACGGTAGAGTGGCTGGACGGGAGTGGTTGGGTGATGGGTGGGTGGATGGATGACGGGTGGGTGGGTGGGTAAGTCAGTGGACCGTGCATGAATCCGTGAGTATAGGAATGGCTGGGCTGGCTGTCAGGGTCCGTGTGTGACACAGATGAGTTGCGGTGGCGGGTCTCTGGGAGGCGAATGAGCCGAGGCTGGTGGGCTACAGCCTGGCTTGGTGGTGCGTGGGGAGTTGGGAGGGGCCCGTGGCCGTGTGACCCAGGGTGAGCGTGGTGACCCCGGCAGCCATCTCCCGGCAGCTGCCCATCGTGGCGTCCTCCGTCGTGTCCCTGTACTTCCTGGAGCTGACTGACCTCTTCAAGCCGGCCAAGGTGGGTTTCCAGTGCTATGACCGCACGCTCTCCATGCCCTACGTGGACACCAGCGAGGAACTCATTCCTCTGCTCATGCTCCTCAGCTTGGCCTTTGCCGCCCCGGCAGCCTCGGTGAGTCCCTGGGGGCCCGGCCGGCTGCACGCCCCCGACCGGGATCCGGGCTAAGCAGGTCTCTGTTGGGCAGATCATGGTGGGCGAGGGCATCCTGTACTGCCTGCAGTCCCGGCCATGGGGCCGCGGCGGCCGGGATGGGGCCGAGGGTAGCATCCACGCTGGCGGCTGCAGCTTCAGCTCCTTCCTGCGGCGCACTGTGCGGTTTGTGGGTGAGTTGCCAACCGGCGTCCCGGCCCCACCTGAGCCCCACGCACCCAGCTGCACACCCGGCCCTGACCCTTCCGCCCCACAGGTGTCCAGGTGTTCGGCCTGTGTGCCACGGCTTTGGTGACCGACGTCATCCAGCTGGCCACGGGCTACCACGCGCCCTTCTTCCTCACGGTCTGCAAGCCCAACTATACGCTGCTGGGCACGCCCTGTGAGGCCAGCCCCTATGTCACGCAGGACATTTGCTCCGGCCACGACAGCCATGCCATCCTGTCTGCACGGTGAGCCGCCCTGCCACTGCCCTGGGCGTGCAAAGAAGCTGGGGCACAGAGGCGTCCCAGAGCCGTGGGGCTCACGTGGGCACCTCTTACAGGAAGACCTTCCCGTCCCAGCACGCCACGCTGTCCGCCTTTGCGGCTGTCTACGTGTCGGTGAGTCCCGCCCCCGGCCCGGGCACGCAGCGGGGCTGTGGCCACCCTGACCTGCCCACCCGCCCCCCAGATGTACTTCAACTCGGTCATCTCGGACGCCACCAAGCTGCTGAAGCCCATCCTGGTGTTTGCCTTCACCATCGCCGCCGGCGTGTGCGGCCTCACCCAGATCACGCAGTACCGCAGCCACCCCGTGGATGTCTATGCTGGCTTCCTCATCGGTGCGGGCATCGCCGCCTACCTGGTGAGGGGCTAGGGGGTTGCCCCAGAGCGCCGGGCTGGGGCTCTCACGAGCTCAAGCTGGCCGAGGTGGGGAGTGGCCCCAGGCTGGGACTTACGGCGTTGGGTAGAGGTGGGCTTGTCCTCAGACTCTCCTGCCCCTCCGGGCCCCTGGCAGGTCTGCACCTGGGCGGCCCCGGGTCCCCAGCCTCAGCCCCGGCCTGCATCTCACCCCCAGGCCTGCCATGCAGTGGGCAACTTCCAGGCCCCACCTGCGGAGAAGCCAGCAGCCCCGGCACCTGCCGATGATGCGCTGCGGGCGCTGACCCAGCGGGGCCACGACTCTCTGTACCAGCAGAACAAGTCTGTGAGCACGGACGCCCTCGGCCCGCCAGGGCGGCTGGGGGGGGTGGCCCGGCCTGTGGCCCGCGAGAAGAGCTCGCTGGGCAGCGTGAAGCGCGCCAGCGTGGACGTGGACCTGCTGGCCCCGCGCAGCCCCATGGGCAAGGAGAGCATGGTGACCTTCAGCCACACGCTGCCACGTGTCAGCACACCCTCGCTGGACGACCCTGCCCGCCGGCACATGACCATCCACGTGCCGCTGGACGCCTCCCGCTCCAAGCAGCTCATCAGCGAGTGGAAGCAGAAGTCGCTGGAGGGCCGGGGCCTGGGGCTGCCCGACGAGGCCAGCCCGGGGCACCTGCGGGCACCTGCCGAGCCCATGGCCGAGGAGGAGGAGGAGGAGGAGGAGGGGGAGGGGGAGGGAGAGGGGGAGCACGGGGGGCCGGCCCCACCCTCGCTGTACCCCACGGTCCAGGCTCGGCCGGGTCTTGGGCCTCGAGTCATCCTCCCACCACGGGCTGGGCCGCAGCCCCTGGTGCACATCCCCGAGGAGGGGGTGCAGGGAGCCGGCCTGTCCCCCAAGAGCAGCACGGCTGTGCGGGCCAAGTGGCTGATGATGGCCGAGAAGAGCGGGGCCGCCGCGGCCGCGGCCACAGCCGCCACCCAGCCCCGTGTGGCCAACCCGCCGCGGCTGCTGCAGGTCATCGCTATGTCCAAGTCTCCGGGCGGGCCAGGCCCCAAGGCGGCCGAGACGGCCTCCTCCTCCAGCGCCAGCTCCGACTCCTCGCAGTACCGGTCACCCTCGGACCGCGACTCCGCCAGCATGGTCACCATTGACGCACACGCGCCGCACCACCCCGTGGTCCACCTGTCTGCGGGGAACGGGCCCTGGGAGTGGAGGGCCGCGGGTGGTGGGGCCCAGGGAGTGGAGGGCGAGGGTGACTATGAGCTGGGCGACCTGGCTCGCAGCTTCAGAGGGCCCAAGCCACAGGGCGTGTCTCCCGGCTCATCGGTCAGCGACCTGGACCAGGAGGAGCTGCGGTTTGGGACTGTAGCCACTGTCAACCTGGTCACAGGCGAGGGGCTGCCCCCGCTGGGCCCAGCTAGCCGGGAGTCAACGCTGCGGCGCCAAGCAGGTGCCCTGCTGTTGGGCGAGCGTGAAGCCCCAGGTGAGGGGGCACCGGGGAGTTACTACCGGAAGGTGCAGTCAGCCCGCAGGCTCCAGGACTGAGGCCCACGGAGGCGGGTGGGGGGTTGGGAGGGGGCTTGTGGGTAACAGCACTTCAGTCAATAAACAGTCCACACTGCAGCCTTGGCTGTCTTCTTGGTCTGAGGACCCACATAGGTAAGGGCCTGGGGAATGCTGTGTATGGCGGGGGTGGGGGCTGCAAGGAGCAGGGTGGCCACTCAGCCCAGTGCAGCTGGGGCCCCTGCCCTCCAGGGCCACGTGAGGGAAGCAGGGGCCTAAGCCCACCAGGCAGGAGGTTGGTTGGGGGAGGCAAGTGGCACAGGTAGGTGACCTTGAGGCCAGCAGACTGGCACACTGCCCACCAGCACCCACAACACAAAGGAGCCCAGGAGCAACTGTGGTAAAATCGCTTTTTAATTCGGTTCTCTCCACATTATAAGCCGTCAGGCGGCAGGGATGTGCTGGGCCCCGCAATACAATACTGAGCCTGTAATTGCTGTTATCAAAATATACATCTGTGTCCCATAAAAAACCGTGTTTGCTGCCCCTCACGTCTTACAACAGGTATAAAAAATTATAAATATTTACACCCTTGTTCCACCCCAATAATGGAAATTTGGGGGTCCAGACCCCAGGGAGAGGCCAGCCAGCACGGGACCCGAGCACAGGACGTGTAGGAGACCCCCCTTCTGGGGTCCCAGCATCAGAGGCAGACAAAAAACAGAAACAGAACTTTGGTCCAAAACTTGCAGAAAGAAAGCAACCCTGGAAGTTTAGGAGCGCTTGTACTCCTGGGTGGAGGGTGGTCAGGGTAAGGCATCCGGGGGTCTCAGATGGGTGGCCGAGGCCTGGGCCCCGGCTCATCACGTCTGCCCTGCGGCTCGGGTAAAAGGAGTACAGTATGCGAGGTCACACAGAGGAGGCGTATGTTACTCAGACCATCTTTATCTTGCTATATAAAAAGTTACTCAAAACTATTTCTTTTGCATATAAATGAAAAAAAGATTAGAATATTTGGTCACTGGAAATATCGCTAGGCACAGATGTCTGCATTGAAGCTGATACAGAGACTATGGTGAACCAGAGCTCCAAAGCTGAAGCCAATGGGGCGCCCCGGGCTTGCCTGGGGTGGGGGAATCACACGCTTAATTGAGTGGGTGGGGGTGTGGGCCGGACCTGCCGCACAGCCTCCCGCCACAGGACCCCACGGGAGGGCCTGCTCCCCCAAACCCCCACGCTTTTGCTACCCAAGAAGGCCCTGCTGGAGCAGCAGGCTTAAGGCACGGGAGAGCCGAGTGAGGTTTGGGAGCGCCCGACCCACGGAGGCCGCAGAAGGCACTGGGAGGGCCGGGGCGGGGAGCTGGCGCACTGTCCACGTGCCGCCGCCGAGAGCCCAGGGGCCGGCACCCGACTCCCCAAGGTGAGCAAGGTGAATTCCATTTAATTTTTTTAAAAACAGGTAAACTGATTTCTCTTTAAAAAAATAAAATCTCTGGTCTTTTAAGGTCACTTCAGCTGCTTTAAAGTGGCTTTCTTCTGGAATGACGGAAGTGTGGCCGGCCCGGCGGGAGGTCCCAGCCTAGATGGTGGACTTGGAGAAGGACACACGCAGGTG